CCGCTGGTTAAGGTTAGGGGTAGAAATATGCTTCTTCCTTTTTCATCTTCTTCAAAAGGGAGTATCTCCTTGATTGTGCCCCAAAGGCATGACATAGGCAAAGCCAGCCAAGCGTCTTTAGTGCTCTTAGCCAAAAGGAACTCAGATTAGAAGTCAGTCACTGTTTGTCAGATCCTTAAGCTCTTGTTTCATTGGAATGAGTCACAGTCTAGATGCTGCTGAGCTCTCAGAGATGTTTGTTTATACAACAGAACAGGTGAGGCACAATGGTCTGTGAGGGACTGGAGAAACCACACCTTGTTCTGCTCTGCGGAAGCTGGACATATGGAGGAGGCACCTGACTAGATCTCTGCTTCCTGGAATTTAGGCTGAGTCATATAGAACCAGGATTGCCAGCAAAGGCCACGGGAAGCTCAGTGAGATGTAAAAGAAGTGGATTAACTCTTGGCAGTCCTGCTGTGAGGGCCTCCCTCTGCCTATACGCACAGCCATTAATGTCCTTTAACTTTGCAAGATGAAGATATCTCTGTTCTGCATCTCCAGATGACTGTGCTTAGACCTCATGCAGAGTCCTGGCTGTGGTTGAAAAATAATTTCCAATTTGGGCTCTGTGAAGGCAACCAACGGACTGTGGAGTGGTGCTGAAATGCAGTTTTAGGTGCCAAATCCGAGGCTTTTAAATACATTTCTCTCTTTTGTCTCAGTTTCTCAGAGACAGGGCCTGTATTTTAAAGGTAAACAGGCAGATTGTGTCTGAGCTCAATTGCAGATTCGATTAACTTAGCTAGATCAAAGACATTAGTATCGGAGAAAAAATAGGTTTCCCATCTCTAAAGTGCTATAGTGTCAGCTCTGCCAGGGGAAGTATGGTGTAAGGCAAAGGGTTTGGAAGAGGGAAGAAAATTTCTTGCTCCCTCTTCTCACTGCCCACTGTAAATTTGCAATATCTTTATCTTGGCCTCCTAAGCCCCAAGAGCTGCATTATATATAATTGCCCATATGTGATACCATTTATTGAATTCTTGCATTGTGCTAAGGATCAAGCTTAGCACTTTACATGCATTACCTCATTGTCTTTAGGGACCCCAAAAGTGCCTCAGTGGAGAGCTATTCAGTCTGCTAAAGAGTGGGTACCACTTTCACTTCTCACATCAGTCCTTTCATTCATTCATCCAGCAAGTATTTACTAAACACCTGTTATAGGCCAGGAATTGTGCTAGGCACTGGTTACACATTGGTGAATAAACAGATATATTTTTTGCCTTTGTGAATCTTATAGTAATAGAGAGTAAGTGGCTAAGGGGGTGATGCTTGGCTAGGAATGTCATAGAATACCTTTCTAAGGAGGTTACATTTAACACAGACTTGAAGAATGAGGAGTCATGCTAAGAATGGATTAGAGACCATTCAAGACAAAAGCAAACCAGATGTGTAAAGATCTCGAGGTAAAAACCACTCCAAAGAGCCAGGCATGGTGGCCTGTAGTCCCAGCCACTTGGGAGGCTGAGGCAGGAGGGTCGCTTGAGTTCAGGGGTTTGAGGTTACAGCAAGCAATGGTTGCACCACTGCACTTCAGCCTGCGTGACAGAGTGAGAGCCTGTCTCTAACAAGCAACAACAACAACAAACAACTCCAAAGTCTATTTGAGGATCTGAAAGAAGGCCTGTATGGATGGAGTATAATAGTAAGAGGGAGATTCGTAGATGAGATTGAAGAAAAAATAAAAATCAGATTATTGAAGGGACTTACATATCATGGTAAAAAGTTTTTTTTTTTTTTTTTTCTTAAGTCAATAGAAAGCCTAAAAGCCTAAGCAGAAGAGTGATATAATCTGATTTCTATTTTTAAAGGATTTTGCTGTATCTATGTTATACTTCAATTTTTAAAGAGCGACTTTAAGAAATAAAGATGACTCTGGCCACTCTGTGAAGGGTTGGAGAGAAGCGAAAGTGGAAGCAAAGTGAATAGAGAGGCTATTTCTGCAATTTAGATAAGCGATGGTGGTGTCCTGAAAGAGTGGTGGCAGTGAAAATTGGGAGAAGAGGACAGAGTCAAGATATATTTAGGAGGCAGAAATGGCAGGTCTTGATGATGTATTGTAAATGGAGAATGAAGAATAGAATAGAGAAAAATGAATAATTAGCTCTGAACTTTCTGGCTTGAGAAATGGGGTAAATGGGGTGTCATTTACTGAAACTGGAAGGATTGAGAAAGAAATAGATTCGAGGAATCAAGAGTTTGATTTCAGATTCCTTCAGTTTGGGATGCCCATGAGATTTCCAACTGGGGATACCAGATAGGCAGTTATACATGAGACTGGAGCACAGAGAGATGTGGGCTTAAAATATAAGTCTGCATCTCATTAGCTTATTCAGATGGTATTTATATCTATGGATATGGCTGAGATCCCAAAAGGAGAGAGTGAAGAGAAAATAGAGAAGAGTGTAGGGCCAAACCCAAGGAAGCTTCAACACACAGATGAGGAGACTGACAAAGAAGCTGACAAAGGAAACTGACAAAGAACAGCCAGAGAAAAAGGTCAGGAGAATGTTTTGACTTGGGAGGCCAGAATATGCTTCCCTAAAATAAAGATTGTTGAGCTGAAGGCAATTAAAAAGAAGCGGATACAGGCCACAGGTGGGGCACAGTGGCTCATGCCTATAATCCTAGCACTTTGGGAGGCCGAAGTAGGCAGATTGCCTGAGCTCAGAAGTCTGAGACCAGCCTGGGCAACATGATGAAACCCCACTTCTAATAAAATTAAAAACAAACAATTAGCCAGGCATGGTGGCATGCACCTATAGTCCTAGCTGCTCAGGAGGCCGAGGCACAAGAAATACTTGAACCCAGAAGGCAGAGGTTGAAGTGAGCCGAGATCTTGCCACCACACTCCAGCCTGGGTGACAGAGCAAAGCTCTGTCTCAAATTTACAAAATAAAAAAAGAAAGAAAGAAGCATATACAGGAGAGGTCTTCTGCCCTCCATCTATTTGCCTAAAAGAACATAAATTTACAAAGACAAAATTTATCCTTCTTCCACCTCTCTCCTTTGCCTCCCACCACCAGGGAGAACAAAGGTTAACCACTGAAGACAACTTTGGACTCTTACTGGCCTGGAAATGATACTGGAGGAATCCTCTATATTAACAAGCTTTGCAAATTGGCCTTTATCTGCCATTCATTTGCCTTCCCCCAGGTAGCCACCCATTAGAGACTGAAAGTTCTTAAAGGTCTTTTCCTTCTTTAAAAATTTACTTTTTTTTGTTGAAGAAGCTGAATTCTAAGCCACCTTTCTGAGAACCGCTCATTCTCTGGGTGTCTGTCATGTATATATGAAATATACATGTTAATAAACTTCCGTTTGCTTTTTTTTTTCTTGTTAATCTCCTTTTGTAACAGAGGTCCAGTCCATGTAAGAACTTATTGGGGTTATTCTCCTATATGACAAAGAACTCATGAGACTAAGTGTTTCAAGAAGGGGATGACAAATGCTGCGGAGAAGTTTGATAATATGAGGACTAAAATGTGACCATTGGTTGTGGAAGTAACATAACGAACTTGACATGGTTACATTAGAAAATTACTGCTCACTGACAACAAATTAGAGGAGACTTAGAAGTGATAGGAAATTGAAATAGCAGATGTAGACAACCCTCAACTATGTTACGTAATTGAACATAAACAGTTTATTTGATGGAGCTTTTCACGTGTCCACCAAAGGAGCAGTGCCAGATACATAAACATTGCTGTGATGTCAGAGTCCCAATGTCATGGCCACTGGGATCACTTTGCCCAGACAGACCATTATCCTTCCTCTCTAGCTCTGACTTCTACTCTTCTAGAAGTCATTGGTATACTTTATGGTGTGTCTTCCAATTAGACTTTTGGGAATGTCTTCTATTGAAAACTCCTGTGGATGCATATCATTTTCCCAAGACTCAGGGCAGATTTCACCTCCTCTGGAATCTCCATTAACTTTCTCAAGTATAATTAATGATTTCTTCTTCTGAAGTCTCACAATACTTTATATATACCTTAGTTATTGCATGTATTAAGTTGGTTTCTAGTTGCTTGAGTGTATGTCCTAACTAGACTGTGAGGACATTGAGGGAAGGAACTTGGCTTGGAAAGTAAAATTGGCTACCAATGCTTTATCTAAACAAATAGGCTCAATTTATGACAGGATTCCATCCTCTTATGCTGTGTATTCCCATCTGTCTTCTGCTTCATCCCACCACCCTTTAAGGTTATTACAATAAAATTAGGATCAAATAATTGATTCAACTAATTTTTCTTGTTTTGGACAAAATAGACATCCTAATACAGTTGTAGCCAAAGTTTAATCTAGTCACTAAAAGGAGTGTATTCTGCCTTTAGCCTTATATTTCCCAACCCATTCCCAGTCAAGATTATCACAACTGTATTCTTTAGGAAATTCTTCACAAAGAACCAAAAACATGTTACTATAAATCTAGATTCTTGGTATGCTGGTGAGAAAACCTGCCCTCTTGCTTGTCTCTAACTAATGGCCTTGGCTGGGCATGGTAGCTCATATCTATAACCCCAACACTTTGGCAGGCCAAGGTGGGAGGATCTCTTGAGCTCCAGTGTTTGAGACCAGGCTGGGCAACATAGTGAGATCTCATTTCTACAAAAATTTTTTAAAAAGTTAGCCCGGCATGGTAGCATGTGCCTATAGTTCCAGCTACTTGGGAGGCTGAGATGGAAGATTGATTGAGCACAGGAGGTTGAGGCTGCAGTGAGCTATGATTTTACCACTGCACTTCAGCCTGGGTGACAGAGAGAAATTCTGTCTTAAAAAAAATTAAACAAATAAATAAATAAGTAAACACTTGCTTTGCCCTCAGACTTGTGGAAACAACTCATGATTTTTGGCAAGGAGCTCAGCCTGTCTATGAAGTACTTCTGTACTCTATCAGCAGTGTGGCATCAAGAGCATGTGTTGACCCTGTTAATGATTTGTAATGTTTTGTCTTTCAGAACCAGAGGCAGGAGAAGTGTCCCCTCCAGTCGGTGCGGGTGTCAATAGCAACAGCTGGACCTTTAAATATGGACCAGGCAACCCCAAACAATCCGGTCCCGGTGAGTTGCCAGACAAATTCATTATCCCAGGATCTCCTGCAATCATCTCCATCCGGCAGGAGCCTACTAACAGCCAAATTGACAAAAGTGACTTCATAACCTTCGGCAAAAAGGAGGAGACCAAGAAAAAGAAGAAAAAGAAGAAGGGTAACAAGACCCAGGAGAAAAAAGAGAAAGGGAACAGCACGACTGACAACAGTGACCAGTGAGGTCCTCGAATGGAAACAAGCCACTTAGCCAGTTTTTGTAATAATGGCAAATCTCTCCCATGTAGCAACTCCCTGCTCCTTTTTCCTATCTACATGAGCCCTCTTAGAGACCTCAGAAATCTGCAGAAAGTTCCCTGTGTCTGTCTAGAACGCATTTAACAGGTTTTGTCTTAAAAACTTTACTAAGTCTGGTGTTAACTCTTTCTCTCCACTCTGGCTTGTTTTCAGAACCTAAAAAGCAGACCCAAGTTTCCTTTCTCCTCCGCCGCAAAGGAGAGGCTTCCCAGCCCCGCCAGTGAGAGGTTGGACTCTCTGCCCTGTGCTCCGGGGATCCTGTCTTGATGACACTTGCAGGGCAGGCTGAAAAGTTTTGAGATTGAGCAGCTTGGGTATTTGTGGTCACTGGGTATGTGTGGCCACCGCGGGTACGGAAGTGCCAGATATTGGCTGAGACTAATTGGTACAAGGAAAGGAAGAAAGCAGAGACAAATAAACAGCGGAAGTTATCAGCGTGGAGGGGAAGTGTAAACTAAAAGGGACCAGACTTTCTAAATCTTACAACTCAAGGAATGGTGGCCACCCTCTAGGAGACACAACTACTCCCACTGACAAGGCTTTAGGACACCCTAAAGTCTGTTGGCTGTGATGTCATTATACCTAAAATCTGCATCATACCTTCAAGCCAACAGTTCAGTGTTTAACAGAGAACCGTCCTGGGAAACAAGCAGATCTGATGTGTTTCCTATTCATTTCCTGTGCTCACTTTATTAAAAATTCTTTTGCACACAATGTTTATGAAAAGGGCAGATCCTTTTCCAACACTTATGCAAAAGCAAAAGAAAACCCCGACACCTCACCTTTCGCTGTTTGTTGTTTCATAGATTTATTTTAAAAAAGAGAAAGTCTATAGTTATAAATCTTTAAAGAGAAATATGAATACAATTCCCCTAAACTCTCCTCAAAAGATAATTCAGTCTACAGCCATTTAAATGATCATTGCTGCTACAGAAGTGCTTTAAGAGAATTGCCTGAAACATCTGTATTATATCGGCCACCTGCCAATCACAGCTTTACTCTTTCAGGTCACTCTGGGGCTGCCTCTTGCATGTATTAATTACTAAATAAAATTATCTCTTTCTCTCTCTCTTTTCTAAGAAACAATTATGTGCACTTTGATACACAACCTTCTCTAACCAACTATATTGAGACCCAAAAATTAAAGAAAAATATTGTTTTCTCATAGAGTGAGCAGATTTTTCAACCCTTTAATTCTGTGACTTGTCTTGGTGTGCTAGCCTACACCTTCTCTTTGGTTTAGTTTTCCTTTTCTATAACACTCTGAATTGCTAATCTTACTAACACCTATGATGTTACCTGAAATCAATCTCCCATATGTATGCTGTATGCTATTATAAGACTCCTGAAATATACTTACTCTGTGCTTGTGTATGTGAATGTTAATGCAACTATTACCTAGAGTGAACTTTAAGCTTTATTGTTGAATGTAATTCCATTATATTTCCTTTTGTACACCTGTGAAAAAGTGGAGTAGTGTTTTTTTAACCATTGTTAATCAGCTTTTGTGTATGAAAGATACAGTAAAATTTCTTTCTTAAATCAAGATACTGGTGATTCAAGGAATTTTATTTATGGTCCAGCCAAGAGCCATCTCTTGCCAAGACTTCTGCTGTCAAGGGAATGGATAAAGCTGTTTTTTTCTAGTAACAGTTTTGGAATGAATACTGACAATATTCCACGAGGGTGTGCAAGCACAAATTTGACCAATCTGACCTCTTTGAAGTTGCAGAATGCTTTGAAATTCTAATGGTATCTGAAATATCAGCTCATAGAAAGTAATACAATTTACTGTCACCTTAAATAAGACATTTTAATTTTGTTACAATGTACAATTTAGAAGTTTGATTAATTATATTATCTATTTAGGTGTTAATATAAAAGAGGTAGGAGTCTGTTATTTAAAAACAAAGCATTAAATCTAAAAAAAAAAAAACTGTCTTGTCTACTTTTAGCTTCATTCTCCCATATTTTGAAGGGTGTGTAACTTCAGCTCTGCAGGATTGCATGGGGTAAAACTTGTTGCCAACACATGTGAACCATTGCTACATTGTAGGTTGTGATCATTTTGCCCCACTGAAGCCCATGTATCTGACCTTACGTGCCTTTTGAACTAGGAGAATCGGGCTAATTTATTAATGATGATAATTATAATGTATCTGTACAGCACTTTTTACCTTTGCGAAGTGCTTTCCAATCCGTGTTAGTTACTAGTTATTACAGCTGTAAGGATAAAACACGTCATGTGGATTCATTTTGAATTGGTGCTATTGGTATTTCCTCTGTTATTGCTAATAAATGAAAATGGTGGTATGAAAGAAATGGTGGTCATTTCTAAGTATAAGAGTAGGAGGAAATAGAACACTGATAAACGATTAATACTGAAGAAGATTGCTGCAGCATGAAACTCACTGTAACACTCTATCACTTTAGCTTTTATGTTCGTTACTAAGGCAAAAGCCCCAATGGAATCAAGATTCAAACTCCAAATTACTAGAATGGGCAGCAAGAAGGTTGCTGCATCACTTTATAGTTACACTATTTCAGTCGTCTCTAATAGGAGTTGCAACAAATCAATTTTTATCACTAGAGCCCTTCTAGGCATCTTTTTCATTACTTGTTTAGTCATTGCACCTCTCAACAACTGGAAAGCCAAGTGACACCCCCAAGAAATGAACTTTTAGGTCAGGGATAGTGGCTCATGCTTGTAATCTCAGAACTTTGGAAGGCCAAGGCCAGAGGATGGTTTGAGGCCAGGAGTTCAAGATCAGCCTGGGCAGCATAGCAAGATCCCATCTCTACAAAAAGAAAGAACTTTTATTGAGTACAGGTTATATGCCAGCCATTCTACTGAATAGGTTCAGTTGTAACAAATAGATTGTTTTGTCCTTTTGTGGTTAAATTTTTATAAACACAAGCTTTAGATGCAGTAGGTTCTCAATTAGGAGCAATTTTGCCTTCCTGGGGACATTTGGCAATGTCTGAAGGCATTGTTGCTTTTCATTACTTGAAGTGGATGGTGCTACTGGCATCTACTGGGTAGAGGCTAAGGATGCTGTGAAACACTTGGCAATGCACAGGACAGCCCCCTACAACAATGAATTTCACAGCCCAACGTGTCAATAGTACCAAGATTGAGAAACCTTGAGATAGAGTGACCATATAATTTGTTTAGTCCACTTTTGAAATGGAACGGGAGACATCATTAATTATTACTTCAGTATTCAAGATGTAAATCTGGACTGTCCCAGGCTAACTGGGGTTTATAGGGACTCTATAAATAAACTGGTACAGCTGTGCCACTAACTAGATGGGGAATTTGGGGTAAACCACTACTCTCAGTTTTTCAGTCATCTCTAAAATGGTAATAATTATAGACCTTATAGATTTGTGAGGTAATCTTGAAAAGTTTTTAGCAGGTCTGGCACATCAGAGTATTTGATAAATATTATTACTATTAATCCTTTTCTTCCATTTCCTCACCCCCTTTTCAGATATTTAGCTATTAAACCAAGGGAACTTTTCCTACCGACTAAAATGTGAACAAGGGATGGCAAAATAAATCAACATAGACTTGGCAATAAAAATATTTTATTTATTCCTCCACTCTTTTGCTCACCCCAGGAGGAAAAGAAGTAAAGTCAGGTTCATAACTCTTTGCCTATTTCTATTGTGAATAATCATCAGGTCCCTAAGTAAACAGTCAAGTGGCCAGTCTGTTGGCAGTTATTTCACCTCAATTATCAGTGATCTGAAAGCCAGAAACCAAAAGGTTTGAAGTCACTCTGCCTGTTTAAATGAATAAATCCTATGTGATTCTAGGAACAACAGCTTGAGAGAGAAAGCGAAGAGTCACCTCCAACAACTTCTTTTGGCAGATGGGCAAAACAGAAATGCCAAATCACCCACAGACTTGCCTGGGATTTCACAGGCAATAAAGGACAAGACAAGGTATATCTCTCTCAAGGGCCAGGCTACTTGACATGGTCTCACAAATACAGCGTGCAGGATTTACTCTTTAGAAATATTGCGATTGATCTAATTTTAAAGGATGAGTTTCTCCAATGAGTGTCTAGAGCCTTGGTGGCTGGATTTTAGGCTCCTAGGTAAGATTGTAAGTGCCAGGATCTCATAGTAGTATATCTTACACTTAAATTATATAAACATTATGTTTAAGTTATAAACCCAATCTAAAGTACAAATGTAACCGACCAAACACTAATGCAATTTTACTGTTAAATCTAGATTTAATAACCATCCAAACATTGAGATACAATAAACAAGTAAACAAACAAACAAAACTACAGATACACTTCCTAAGGACTTTCAGTCTGGGAAGCTTCTCCATGAAATGGAAAGTTGGCCACTCTTTAACCCTATGTCATATTTTCATGTGCTTCTTCTCCTTGTAGAAAAAGCCGATTACATTATTTCCCCTCAAATTAGCTTGACTGTTGGCTGGCAGGACACACCTTGCAACCTGAGAAATTTCTTCTGGCTTTACACACACACACACACACACACGGAGCGGGGCTTTAGCAAATGAGCATGGTGCTGTCTTCCCTTTGAAATTATGCCTAAGAGTGGCACATAGCAACCTTTTTGTTATAACCAGTCAGATAAAATGCTTGCTGGGTCCCATTTTCTTTTGGGGTTGATCCATGGGGAAATGCCTGCTGACATATGAAATCGTTTTTTGCCCTAATAAAGTGTATCAGCTTATCTTTGAACTTAAGCTCCTCTGAGCTGGACATTAGTAAATTTACTTTCATAATATGGACTCTAGTCTGCATAAAGAAATAAGAAAATAGGTAGTGAAAAACATGAACTCCAGCATTTTGTTACGTTACACAATTGTCAGGTGACTTGGGATCATCAATCCACAAAAAACATGAGCAAGTCAGACAGTCAGCCAGTCTTAGAGCAGAGCTAAAACAATTGGTACCAGATGCATAAACATATAGGGGAATTGACATAACAGTTCTTATTTTAGGGTTGGCTTTCACTAGACTTACTTTATTGAATTTCTTTCTTTTTTTTTTGAGACAGAGTCTTGCACTATCCCCCGGTTTGGAGTACAATGGCCCGATCTCTGCTCACTGCAACCTTCACCTCCTGGGTTCAAGTGATTCTCCTGCCTCAGCCTCCTGAGTAGCTGGGACTATAGGCACGTGCCACCACGCCCAGCTAATTTTTTTGTATTTTTAGTAGAGACGGAGTTTCACTCTGTTGGCCAGACTGGTCTCGAACTCTTGACCTCATGATCCACCCACCTCGGCCTCCCAGAGTGTTGGGATTACAAGCGTGAGCCACCATGCCTGGCATACTTTATTTAATTTTATTTGACATTAAATTTTTATTATAAAAGTAATATGTGTTCTTTTAAATAAATCAAACTGGAAATATATAAAGAAAAATTATTAATCTCCTCACCAGCTTCTTTCAATTCTCTCTTACACAGGTATCCAATGTTAATGATTTCAACCGTGTTTTTCTGCATTTTTCTCTATACACACACATATCACATACACGTAGGCTTAAAAATAATTGTTTTCTTTTTCTTTTTTTTTTTTTTTTTTAGATAGGGTTTTGCTCTGTTGCCTAGGCTAGAGTGCAGTGGTGGGATCTCAGTTCACTGCAACCTCCATCTCCTGGGTTCCAGTGATTCTCCTACCACAGTCTCCCAAGTAATGGGGACTACAGGTGTGTGCCACTATGCCCAGATAAATTTTTTTGTATTTTTAGTAGAGACAGGGTTTCACCATGTTGGGCAGACTGGTCTCGAACTCCTGACCTCAGGTGATCTGCCCACCTTGGCCTCCCAAAGTGCTGGGATTACAGGCATGAGCCATTGCCCCCAGCCTGTTTTCTTTTTTATATAAAAACAAAATGATTCCATGCTTGTTGCCCTGTGGATTTAAAAAAAAAATTACAATAAGGTAAAGATTTCTTTCAGTTCATTTCTAAATCATTCTTTTTAAATTTCTGTATAAATTCCATATAATGGCTAGATCGTATTGTCATAATGCATTTAATTTTTTCAGATTTTTGCTACTCAAAACCAAGAATAGCACTTGTTTGCAATTATAGATTTAGTGCCTGAGCCTTATAAAACCTGGTATAGGTATATCAAAAAAAAAAAAAGTTTGGAAAACTATTATTAACTTTATATGACTCCCTCCACAGTAATCACGTTCCTTTCCTAGTATCACTCATTCTTTCCTAGTATTCAATGATGAATTGTGGCTCTATTTATAGATAAATGGTGAAAAACAGAGACAGACATTCACAAGAAAAACAGAAAAGGGTTAGAAAGATATGTCTTCATTTACTTATCCAGAATAATTTCATGGGAGCTTCATTTCATCCAAAGATTTCTCCATTCAATCACAGATGGAAATGTATGTACAAAAGAGGAAGTCTCAAAGACAATTCAAATACTTGCTTAGACCTGTGATATTTTAATATAGATTGAGCATTGGGTAGAAAGCAGTCTAACTTTATTTTCTAGGTTGTTAACATGTTACCTGAGAGGTAGACATATAAACTTTGTACCAGTGGATCTGATGTCATTTTAAGAAAAATAAATTGCTTATCAAGTAATGAATCCAAGACAACCAAAAAACCAAGGCAGCCATTCATGTGTTAGAAAAATCTTAATTACAAAACCATTTGGCTATAAACTTTAGGAAATCTTCCTTATTAAATTATTAATACTATTTTATCCTTTAAACCAGCCTTTCCTTCCTTCCTTCCTTCCTTCCTTCCTTCCTTCCTTCCTTCCTTCCTTCCTTCCTTCCTTCCTTCCTTCTTTTTTTCCTGCTGTAAACCAGCCTTCAAGGCATAATTCCAGTCTGGGTTTAGTGGCTCATACCAGTAATCTCAATACTTTAGGCCAAGGCAGAAGGATTGTTTGAGCCCAGGAGTTTGAGATTATAGTGAGGTATAATCGGTCACATCACTGTACTCCAGCCTGGGTTACATAGCATTACCCTGTCTCAAAGAAAAAAACAGAAAGAAAAAGAAAAAAGAAAGAATTACATTCCTAAATCAGGTATATTCCATTCTTGACAGCTAATAAAATTCATCAGCCAGACATAGCACACATTTCTTCCCAATTGCTGTAGCTTTCCAGGTCACCTTCCTCTTGGTCCTCATCAAGTCTATGATCAATTTTTCGGAAATCTTGTAGTCTGGAAGTACCATCCTTCCTTTCATACTTTTCACAGTGGTATTCTAGCTTAGAGCCCAACCCAGATATCTGGTAAGTCAGTTCTAGGACATAGGTGGGTGGTACATATTTTTGGGATCAGTAGCT